TCTGTTTAGGACAAAGGTTAACTTGTCAGTTTACAAGCAGATTATTATTGGAACCGTAATATGCTTTCCGACCATCACAAATATCTAGTTAACTATCCAGGTGGAGTGAAAGTGGGTTTGGCGTTTCGATGTAATCACCTTACTCTGAGGATGGATTAATTATGAACCGATTCTTCAAATTAAGAGTTTGTAACATTTTAATAATGGTAATATCTCAGGTTGGCATTTTATATGTGTGGGGGGCCTGGTCAGAGACCGGGTCGCGGGGACGTTGATCCCCGGAACCAACAACAGGTGGCTAGAACAGGTGGGTGGCCGATTATTAGGTAAATCATGAGGATTTGTTATTTTCACTTTGTAGTAGGTAATTGACTAGACGTAAGAGTGGTTTAGTCTTGGTAATATAAGCCTGGCGGTGTTCTATTTAAGTTGGATAAACCCACTTAGAAAATGGAGTCTTGAGGGGCTTGATTTGGCCTATCATGTGTAGTAAGTTGATTTAGTACCTGACACGAGTTTACTGGCCAGCTAGCAAGCATACTTTAGTTGTGAACATAGTCCAGGACTATGCAATAATGCATAGTCCTAGACTATGCATTATTGCATAGTAAACTCTCAGTGTATATGTAAACTATGTAAAGTGTATATGTAAAATATTTATACACATAAATTTATATGTATTTTTAATTTAAATTTATACATGCACAGTGTATTTATATACACTGTATTTACAGTGTATATGTAAACTTGTAAACTCTCAGTGTATATAGTATACATCGAGATATAGGGTACATTAATCGGTGTGTATATCCATTGCCTCCCTCTCGATGTATATATAATACATCCCTTGCCTCCCCGGTGTATATATAATTTATTATAATAGTGACAATATATGTTTTTATAGTTTTATGATAATATTTTACTGTAATTAAAAATTAAATATATCTCAATGCTAAGAATCTAGATACTAATACTATTTAAATACTTTTCTGAGTCGGAATTACTGTTAGGAAGAGAGGCCTTCCCGTAATCTCTGCTCACTACAGCGATGATGAACTACAAGGAAATCTAACCTAGACGAAATTAAACAAAAGGTAAACCCTGTGAAATTTAGCGTACAAAGAATCCTTCCCCCCCTCACAACACCCCATCCCTCACAAATCCCCCCGTCACCTCTCCCTACTCAACAAACTCACACCCACAATGACTCGATGGTCGAGTACTGATAACAGATCGGATACCTTCACTACTGATCACTCTACAGTCGCCTTCAAGGCTTCCTGGGCTCGACCTCCTCCCTAAATTAACTTTACCTGATGCATTAGCGTTGTGTTTAAATTTTAATTTAGATGATTATGTAAATTTATTGCATATTTTTTTTTTAGTTTCCAAGTCTTAATTCTCAGCGGCTTGATCCTAATGGTTACTTTTTTAGATTATACCACATACAGTATTTATATTTGTTGATATGCTTATTTTCAGTGTTACATGTCTTAAGAGTACTGAGAAGGGGCCGACCAGCACAGTGATTTTTTTAGTTTTTTAAATAAATGTGTATATGCAGAGTGTCATACACCATAGGCTTCGTGTGAGTAAGAAATGGAAATAATTTATCTTTCACTTACAATAAACTTCATCGTATAACCTTGACTAGCTTACGGGCTTACAGTATGGTCGGTGCATGGGGGAAACACAACTATGAGAGTCACACCAACTACCTCACACTTGCTAGCGATGTGGAAGTAGTCAGGTGCTTGTGGAAGTAGTCAGGTGCTTGTGGAAGTAGTCAGGTGCTTGAGGGAGTAGTCAGGTGCTTGAGGGAGTAGTCAGGTGCTTGTGGAAGTAGTCAGGTGCTTGTGGAAGTAGTCAGGTGCTTGTGGAAGTAGTCAGGTGCTTGTGGAAGTAGTCAGGTGTTTGTGGAAGTAGTCAGGTGCTTGTGGAAGTAGTCAGGTGCTTGTGGAAGTAGTCAGGTGTTTGTGGGAGTAGTCAGGTGTTTGTGGAAGAAGTCAGGTGTTTGTGGGAGTAGTCAGGTGTTTGTGGAAGTAGTCAGGTGCTTGTGGAAGTAGTCAGGTGTTTGTGGAAGTAGTCAGGTGCTTGTGGAAGTAGTCAGGTGCTTGTGGAAGTAGTCAGGTGTTTGTGGGAGTAGTCAGGTGTTTGTGGAAGAAGTCAGGTGTTTGTGGAAGAAGTCAGGTGTTTGTGGAAGTAGTCAGGTGCTTGTGGAAGTAGTCAGATGCTTGTGGAAGTAGTCAGGTAATTGTGGAAGAAGTCAGGTGTTTGTGGAAGTAGTCAGGTGCTTGTGGAAGTAGTCAGGTAATTGTGGAAGAAGTCAGGTGCTTGTGGAAGTAGTCAGGTGCTTGAGGGAGTAGTCAGGTGCTTGTGGAAGTAGTCAGGTGTTTGTGGAAGTAGTCAGGTGCTTGTGGATGTAGTCAGGTGTTTGTGGAAGTAGTCAGATGCTTGTGGAAGTAGTCAGGTAATTGTGGAAGAAGTCAGGTGTTTGTGGAAGTAGTCAGGTGCTTGTGGGAGTAGTCAGGTGCTTGTGGGAGTAGTCAGGTGCTGGTGGAAGTAGTCAGGTGCTGGTGGAAGTAGTCAGGTGTTTGTGGGAGTAGTCAGGTGTTTGTGGAAGAAGTCAGGTGTTTGTGGGAGTAGTCAGGTGCTGGTGGAAGTAGTCAGATGCTCGTGGAAGTAGTCAGGTAATTGTGGAAGTAGTCAGGTGCTTGAGGGAATAGTCAGGTGCTTGTGGAAGTAGTCAGGTGCTTGTGGAAGTAGTCAGGTGTTTGTGGAAGTAGTCAGGTGCTTGTGGAAGTAGTCAGGTGCTTGTGGAAGTAGTCAGGTGCTTGTGGAAGTAGTCAGGTGTTTGTGGCAGTAGTCAGGTGCTTGTGGATGTAGTCAGGTGTTTGTGGAAGTAGTCAGATGCTTGTGGAAGTAGTCAGGTAATTGTGGAAGAAGTCAGGTGCTTGAGGGAATAGTCAGGTGCTTGTGGAAGTAGTCAGGTGCTTGTGGAAGTAGTCAGGTGCTTGAGGGAGTAGTCAGGTGCTTGTGGAAGTAGTCAGGTGTTTGTGGAAGTAGTCAGGTGCTTGTGGAAGTAGTCAGGTAATTGTGGAAGAAGTCAGGTGTTTGTGGGAGTAGTCAGGTGCTGGTGGAAGTAGTCAGGTGCTGGTGGAAGTAGTCAGATGTTTGTGGGAGTAGTCAGGTGTTTGTGGAAGTAGTTAGGTACTTGTGGGAGTAGTCAGGTGTTTGTGGAAGTAGTCAGGTGCTGGTGGAAGTAGTCAGGTGTTTGTGGAAGTAGTCAGGTGCTTGTGGGAGTAGTCAGGTGTTTGTGGAAGTAGTCAGGTGCTTGTGGGAGTAGTCAGGTGCTTGTGGAAGTAGTCAGGTGCTGGTGGAAGTAGTCAGGTGCTTGTGGGAGTAGTCAGGTGCTTGAGGGAGTAGTCAGGTGCTTGTGGGAGTAGTCAGGTGCTTGAGGGAGTAGTCAGGTGCTTGTGGGAGTAGTCAGGTGTTTGTGGAAGTAGTCAGGTGCTGGTGGGAGTAGTCAGGTACTTGTGGGAGTAGTCAGGTGCTGGTGGAAGTAGTCAGGTGCTTGTGGGAGTAGTCAGGTGCTTGTGGGAGTAGTCAGGTACTTGTGGGAGTAGTCAGGTGCTTGTACTCACCTAGTTGTGTTTGCGGGGGTTGAGCTCTGGCTCTTTGGTCCCGCCTCTCAACCGTCAATCAACAGATTGACGGGAGTGCTTGTGGGAGTAGTCAGGTGCTTGTGGGAGTAGTCAGGTACTTGTGGGAGTAGTCAGGTGCTTGTGGGAGTAGTCAGGTGCTGGTGGAAGTAGTCAGGTGCTTGTGGAAGTAGTCAGGTGTTTGTGGGAGTAGTCAGGTGTTTGTGGGAGTAGTCAGGTGCTGTGGGAGTAGTCAGGTGTTTGTGGGAGTAGTCAGGTATTTCAATAAAAAATCAAGATGGCAGCAGGTTGAGCTCGGAGGGTTGGAGGGTGTTCGAGGCGGTATTGGCTGACGGGTTGTTAGGGGCGTGGTTATTGATCGTGTGCGGGCGCTGAGTGGTCCCTGGACCCAGCATGGCCTCAGTCAGACAGTTGGCACAGCTGGAGGAGTGCCGAGTGGCTCCCGCTGCCGGTGTTGGAGACTGTGGGAGTGTTGGAGAGGCGCGCGCCTCCGCCGCCATGAAGCCCGACAAGCCCACACATCCTGCCCGAGACAGAGACATCTTACGGGCGCGTAACGTCAGGCAGCTCAAACCTTCCTCGTCATCCGCGCCGTTATCGTCAGGCGAAGAGTCAAAGTCGCGGTGTGAGCCCCTAGCGGCGCCGCCTGCAGACACTCCTGGCGCTGGCCCGTCGTCGGCAGGGGAGGAGGGCCGCGGGGCGGAGATGCGGGTGTACCTGGAGAAGCTTCGCCAGTTGGTGCCATACGTGCCTCGCTCCGGCCGCCTCTCCAGAGTGCAGCTTATCCACTCCGCTATTGACTACATCACCGACCTGCAGGAGTCGCTGGAGGCGCGGGCCCGCAGGAAATTGCGAGACAAGCAGGACGAGCAGGCTAGGCCGCCCCTGGCCGCCTTGCCCCGCGCGCAGGTGGAAACCAACTCCAGCAGGAACAGTGGCCCGCTGGCGGACATCACCGTCAACAGGCTCCCTACCGCCCTCGAGACCAACACCAGCCACCCAGCGGCCCTCGCTGTCCTTGCCTCGTCTGCTGAAGCAGCTACTGCCCCTGTCATCACCGCCACCAGCAGGAGACCGATGTCCCCCGTCGCACCTGGACCTTCATTCCACCCTACTTGAGTGACCCTTCACGGTAACGGTGAATTAGTTTGACCAAAAATGTGAAGTACCGCCAGTGAACTGTAGAATAATACCCCGAGCGTCGGAGCTAACCCACACACACATCTCCAGGACACATGACCTCTAGCACACGTGGCCTCGGGGGACACACGTGGCCTCCTGAGACGGGATACATAAATTATTAGTGTCCACTTACGACATGAGCCTCTTACATCGATCATGGCGACTTTGTTGGTTACCAAGCGTGTGCAAGCTCCGAAGAGCTGCGAGGCCTCAATTCAAGGATATTATTGTCACGGACGACCTCGTAACGCCTGCAGCTCGGAAACTGATTTAGTAAATACGGCCTGAGCCGCCATGCTCTAGGCAAGAGATTCAGATCTCGTAAGTGCTTTGTGAATCTTGGCGCAGGATTTGTGACCTTCGAGTACACACGTGAATTCCAAAAAACATGTGACCTCCAAGTCAAATAATCTGTGAGACAAGTGACCTCCGGGGACACTCGTGACCCCCAGGACATGTGACCTTCAGGACACGTTGTCTACTCGACACACGTGACCAGGATAGAAATGATCTGGATGACTGACATAATCAAGTGGTTCACAAACAAATTGCCTCTGAGACGTGTGCCATAAACTACAGGTAACCTGTTTTAACAATGTAAATATTGTATAGTGTAAAAGAATTTATATTTTGTTAATTAAGTTATTTATCTTTTCTATGGGCTGAAGCCGATCAATCGTATACAGCTGAAAACCAAAGAGTCGTGGAGGACCACACCCACACCAGGGCTGGAGGACCACACCCACACCAGGGCTGGAGGACCACACCCACACCAGGGCTGGAGGACCACACCCACACCAGGGCTGGAGGACCACACCCACACCAGGGCTGGAGGACCACACCCACACCAGGGCTGGAGGACCACACCCACACCAGGGCTGGAGGACCACACCCACACCAGGGCTGGAGGACCACACCCACACCAGGGCTGGAGGACCACACCCACACCAGGGCTGGAGGACCACACCCACACCAGGGCTGGAGGACCACACCCACACCAGGGCTGGAGGACCACACCCACACCAGAGAGCAGAACACCACACAAGGCTCAGTGTAAACAAGGACCACAACCCTGCTGGCTCCCGTCAAGCATGACCTCTCACATGTGGTTAGTCGGGCTTGTCTAGTGATGGTGTTCTCCAGGAACTGTTAAGCGGTCACCATCCCGGGGGTCCTCCTGCAGCTGTCACCATCCCGGGGTCCTCCTGCAGCTGTCACCATCCCGGGGTCCTCCTGCAGCTGTCACCATCCCGGGGTCCTCCTGCAGCTGTCACCATCCCGGGGTCCTCCTGCAGCTGTCACTATCCCGGGGTCCTCCTGCAGCGGTCACCATCCCGGGGTCCTCCTGCAGCTGTCACCATCCCGGGGTCCTCCTGCAGCGGTCACCATCCCGGGGTCCTCCTGCAGCGGTCACCATCCCGGGGTCCTCCTGCAGCTGTCACCATCCCGGGGTCCTCCTGCAGCTGTCACCATCCCGGGGTCCTCCTGCAGCTGTCACCATCCCGGGGTCCTCCTGCAGCTGTCACCATCCCGGGGTCCTCCTGCAGCGGTCACCATCCCGGGGTCCTCCTGCAGCTGTCACCATCCCGGGGTCCTCCTGCAGCGGTCACCATCCCGGGGTCCTCCTGCAGCGGTCACCATCCCGGGGTCCTCCTGCAGCTGTCACCATCCCGGGGTCCTCCTGCAGCTGTCACCATCCCGGGGTCCTCCTGCAGCGGTCACCATCCCGGGGTCCTCCTGCAGCGGTCACCATCCCGGGGTCCTCCTGCAGCTGTCACCATCCCGGGGTCCTCCTGCAGCTGTCACCATCCCGGGGTCCTCCTGCAGCTGTCACCATCCCGGGGTCCTCCTGCAGCGGTCACCATCCCGGGGTCCTCCTGCAGCGGTCACCATCCCGGGGTCCTCCTGCAGCGGTCACCATCCCGGGGTCCTCCTGCAGCTGTCACCATCCCGGGGTCCTCCTGCAGCGGTCACCATCCCGGGGTCCTCCTGCAGCGGTCACCATCCCGGGGTCCTCCTGCAGCTGTCACCATCCCGGGGTCCTCCTGCAGCTGTCACCATCCCGGGGTCCTCCTGCAGCTGTCACCATCCCGGGGTCCTCCTGCAGCTGTCACCATCCCGGGGTCCTCCTGCAGCTGTCACCATCCCGGGGTCCTCCTGCAGCTGTCACCATCCCGGGGTCCTCCTGCAGCGGTCACCATCCCGGGGTCCTCCTGCAGCGGTCACCATCCCGGGGTCCTCCTGCAGCTGTCACCATCCCGGGGTCCTCCTGCAGCTGTCACCATCCCGGGGTCCTCCTGCAGCTGTCACCATCCCGGGGTCCTCCTGCAGCTGTCACCATCCCGGGGTCCTCCTGCAGCTGTCACCATCCCGGGGTCCTCCTGCAGCGGTCACCATCCCGGGGTCCTCCTGCAGCGGTCACCATCCCGGGGTCCTCCTGCAGCTGTCACCATCCCGGGGTCCTCCTGCAGCTGTCACCATCCCGGGGTCCTCCTGCAGCTGTCACCATCCCGGGGTCCTCCTGCAGCTGTCACCATCCCGGGGTCCTCCTGCAGCTGTCACCATCCCGGGGTCCTCCTGCAGCTGTCACCATCCCGGGGTCCTCCTGCAGCTGTCACCATCCCGGGGTCCTCCTGCAGCTGTCACCATCCCGGGGTCCTCCTGCAGCGGTCACCATCCCGGGGTCCTCCTGCAGCTGTCACCATCCCGGGGTCCTCCTGCAGCGGTCACCATCCCGGGGTCCTCCTGCAGCGGTCACCATCCCGGGGTCCTCCTGGAACGGTTAATATCTGATATTGGCCGCCGTGCAACATATAGTTGGCAAACAATAACAACAGCGTGTATAAAGTCTTTGAATAAACTTGTTACATATAAAGTGTCTCTTATCATCCATCTTATTAATGGAAAGGTACACTGAAGAGGCACCGAGTATCTCAACCCATGTATATGTCCCATCCCATCAACCCATGTATATGACCCATCCCATCAACCCATGTATATGTCCCATCCCATCAACCCATGTATATGTCCCATCCCATCAACCCATGTATATGACCCATCCCATCAACCCATGTATATGTCCCATCCCATCAACCCATGTATATGTCCCATCCCATCAACCCATGTATATGACCCATCCCATCAACCCATGTATATGTCCCATCCCATCAACCCATGTATATGTCCCATCCCATCAACCCATGTATATGTCCCATCCCATCAACCCATGTATATGACCCATCCCATCAACCCATGTATATGTCCCATCCCATCAACCCATGTATATGACCCATCCCATCAACCCATGTATATGACCCATCCCATCAACCCATGTATATGACCCATCCCATCAACCCATGTATATGTCCCATCCCATCAACCCATGTATATGTCCCATCCCATCAACCCATGTATATGACCCATCCCATCAACCCATGTATATGTCCCATCCCATCAACCCATGTATATGTCCCATCCCATCAACCCATGTATATGTCCCATCCCATCAACCCATGTATATGACCCATCCCATCAACCCATGTATATGTCCCATCCCATCAACCCATGTATATGTCCCATCCCATCAACCCATGTATATGACCCATCCCATCAACCCATGTATATGACCCATCCCATCAACCCATGTATAAGTCCCATCCCATCAACCCATGTATATGACCCATCCCATCAACCCATGTATATGACCCATCCCATCAACCCATGTATATGTCCCATCCCATCAACCCATGTATATGACCCATCCCATCCAGTCAACCCATGTATATGACCCATCCCATCCAGTCAACCCACATATTGGACTTATTTCTTCCCATTTTCCTCAACATTCATATTTAATCTATCCCATAGGGGTCACCCTATGTATTGAGCCATCGCATAGTGTCATCCCATATAGTGACCTATCCCATAGGGCCTCCCTATATTTTGACCCATCAAGCAGTACCACCACCATTTCTCTGACCTTTCTCTTGCCTCTCCCAATATATTGACCAATATAAAGTATCCCGTGTCGGTGACCCATCAGAGAGTGTTATCCGAACCATTCGACCCATCAAACATGTCGTGTCACCCAATGCGCTTGACCCATCCTATTGTGACACCCCTACATTTAACCTGTTAAACAAGTCACCCTATAGATAACCTATCTCATGCATCATGCAGACGACGAGTCTCAATACCGTGGCTGAAGAGTTGATATCCAACCCACAACTGAAACTAAAGAAACGACAACGTTTTGGTCCGTCCACGACCATTGTGAAGTCGCGTATCAAGTCTAGCAAATTTATTACAATTTATTAGAGCATCGCTTTTTTTAAGGTCTGAAGCCGTGTTGCCGAGAGATAAGTACTGAAGCTTTATATATGTATATATATATATATATATATATATATATATATATATATATATATATATATATATATATATATATATATATATATATATATATATATATGTCGTACCTAGTAGCCAGAATACACTTCTCGGCCTGCTATGCAAGGCCCGATTTGCCTAATAAGCCAAGTTTTCATGAATTAATATATTTTCTCAAATTTTTTCTTATGAAATGAAAAAGCTACCCATTTCATTATGTATGAGGTCATTTTTTTTTATTGGAGTTAAAATTAACGTAGATATATGACCGAACCTAACCAACCCTACCTAACCTAACCTAACCTATCTTTATTGGTTAGGTTAGGTTAGGTAGCCGAAAAAGTTAGGTTAGGTTAGGTTAGGTAGGTTAGGTAGTCAAAAACAATTAATTCATGAAAACTTGACTTATTAGGCAAATTGGGCCTTGCATAGTAGGCTGAGAAGTGCGTTCTGGCTACTAGGTACGACATATATATATATATATATATATATATATATATATATATATATATATATATATATATATATATATATATATATATATATATATATATATATATATATATATATATATATATATATATATATATATATATATGTATATGTCGTACCTAATAGCCAGAACGCACTTCTCAGCCTACTATTCAAGGCCCGATTTGCCTAATAAGCCAAGTTTTCATGAATTAATGTTTTTTCGTCTACCTAACCTACCTAACCTAACCTAACCTAGCTTTTTTTGGCTACCTAACCTAACCTTACCTATAAATATACGTTAGGTTAGGTTAGGTAGGGTTGGTTAGGTTCGGTCATATATCTACGTTAATTTTAACTCCAATAAAAAAAAATTGACCTCATACATAGAGAAAACGTTTGCTTTATCATTTCATAAGAAAAAAATTATAGTAAATATATTAATTAAGGAAAACTTGGCTTATTAGGCAAATCGGGCCTTGAATAGTAGGCTGAGAAGTGAGTTCTGGCTACTAGGTACGACATATATATATATATATATATATATATATATATATATATATATATATATATATATATATATATATATATAAATATATATATATATATATATATATATATACATATATATATATATATATGACAATGTCAGACCACGGAGGAAAAATGAAACAGGAAATTTCCTTAAGTACTTTCGTATATTAAATACATCTTCAGAAGGTCCAACCTTGTGACCTTCTGAAGATGTATTTAATATACGAAAGTACTTAAGGAAATTTCCTGTTTCATTTTTCCTCCGTGGTCTGACATTGTCACATTCTTAATCACGTGTTTATTTTCGTGATATACACACACATATATATATATATATATTTACGCCGAACAAAGTTACCTTTGTTCGACGTAAAGAAAAAAAATAAATAACTGTAGAATGTATTACACTTATTATAAAATTACACAACGTTTCGAACCTACATGGTTCATTCTCAAGTGATAGGAAATTACAAAGCATATTGGATTTATACTAATATGGGGTCAGGTGAAACCAAGTAGACGAATACAAATGGGTCAAGAATAAGAAAAGTAAGGCATAAAGTTTAAAGGCCTTTCAAGAAAAAGGCCTTAAATGTCCGATCCACATACAAAGATTAATCAGGTATATTGGACGTAGCATGTTGAGCAGCGTCTTCTATGTTGGCATTTTTGCGTTCCGGTCTTGTTCTTACTCTCATGGTGGGTAGAGTGACTAGTTCCGTAATTTGGGTATTTGTGGTGGGTTGTTCTATTTTATAGAGATTGCTTCAAGAATTTGTAATCTTCGTACATCTTGGGTTTTGTCTATTATACAAGTGTTTTTATTCAACATTTCTCCTGTTAGGGTGATGTCATGGGCTTGTCTCGTGTTATTTTGCGGGGCACCTGATTGAAGATGACAGGTCAAACGTCTCGTCAGCTTCGTCGACGTCATACCTATGTACTTAGATCGAAGGGTACATCCTTCGTGGGAGTAAGTGTACATGTATACCACGTCTGACTGCTGTAGAGGGTTCTCCGTCGGTTCCGGCCTGTTTTTAATAAGGAGATCGGTAGTCTTTTTTGTTTTATAGTATATGATTAAGTCTATGTTTTGGTTAGGAATTGTATTTTTTTACTCCTTTACGGCTTATGTCTTTTATTATTCGTTCTTCTTTCTTATGTTCACTGTGCATGGTTGAGTTGTAATATAATTTTATTGGAGGCGTTGTGGTTTCTGTTCTTAGTTCAGGATTGTACCATCGTTCCAGGTGTCGTCTTATAGTAGTGTTTATTTCTGTGTTGCTCTATTTATTGTTCACCAACACCTGAGTTATTCTTTCAAACTCCCTTCTCACGTTGCTCCATTCAGAGCAGTGGGTAAGGGCTCGACGAATATAAGCGTTGGGAACACTGGCTTTGTATCTTTGGGGTCACTCACTCCTACCGTTTAGGCATAATCCTGTTTGTAGGTTTAGTATATACGCTGGTGCTTAGAAAGGTCCCTGTTTTTCTTATAAGTACATCCAGGAATGGCAAACTGTTATTTTCACCATTTTCATGTGTGAACCGAAATAATGATTCTCTCTCTCTAGATGACTTTTTAGGTCGGTTAGTTCATCTGGGTCCTTTACTATGACAAATATGTCATCTACATAACGGCAATATACCATTGGTTTTTGCTTACTACTGAAGACTCTCTCCTCTATGGTCTCCATGTAAAAATTAGCGAATAACACACCTAAGGGGGAGCCCGTTGCTACTCTGTCCATTTGTAGATACATGTCGCCTTGCGGACTGATGAAAGGGACTTCTTTTGTACATGCCTCGAGAAGGCCCTTCAAGTGTGGCTCGGGTATGTCTAATTTAGGGGCGCTCTCGTCTCTGTATACTGTCTAGTATCATTTCTATGGTGGTGTCCTCCGGGACGTTGATAAATAGGGATTCGACGTCCAGTGAAGCAATAATTCCATCGGGCTGTGTGGTTTTGATTATTTCTAGGAAATCTGCTGATGATTGTAGACTATAGTTGCTTGGAGTGAAGAGTTCGTTAAGTCTTTTTGCCAGGTGGTGGGTTGGAGTTGGCATTTGGCTGATTATTGGGCGTAGTGTTTTTCCTGGTTTATGCGTCTTTACTTTGCTATAAGCATATCTTAAGCCAAAGTCGCCTTGAAGTTTGGCGAAATGAACGCTATCTCTCTTTGCGTTGATTGCAGTAAAAGTTTTGTTCACTTTGTGCTTAAGGTCTTCCTCACGGTTCCTCTTGATTCGTTGAAATTTAGTGTCATCACTGAGGATATCGCTATTATTCATGTATTCGTGAGTAGGGATCAACACGTATGCTGCTGTCTTGTCACGAAAAGTCGACAATATATATATATATATATATATATATATATATATATATATATATATATATA